AAAAAAAAACAGGAGAAAATCTTCACCTAGTATTAGGAAAAAAATGTTAGACATGACATCATAACCCCTAAAAGAAACCATGAGTGACACTGTTTGTGGTGAAAGGACAAGCTACTGACCTGAAACAGTAGCTACAAGTCACTTGCCCTGCAAGGGACCTTCCAGGTCAGGACTGCGCTAGCATGATGACACCACACCACAGAAACAATCAGCCCAATGTGCAAAAAGGGCAAACACCTAAACACTTCACAGACGAGAATGTTCAAATGCAAAGTTGGTCAGAAACAGTGCCCCCAAACCAGGAGACCTCCCCTCCCCTCACTCCAGCAATTCTGAGTGCACACAGGGGCGAGGCAGCTAGGAGAGGGCACCGTGGCAGCATCTTGGCAAGTCACACCTACCAGTGACCAGAGATGCCACTGCTGGACTTCTACACTGGAGACCATCAAATGCTTCCCCATGTATGGCAGACAGACAGCTGTGGTCCATCAGGCAACGGAAGGCCACGAGCACAGAGGGCACTGAGAACACTGCTGGATGCAGCTGAAGGGCACCTTGGGAGCCCAGGCTGCCACCTGCCTCCACCCACACATCATCTCCAAGAAACAAGACAAGCTATGGGGGCAGGTCACTTGTGGGCTGCTTCCATAGAATTGTACCCCACCCCCCAAAAAAGTCAAGTCTGCCTCAATGACAAACAACCTGGTGGTTCACTGTTGGAGCTCTGAGCAGTAAAGTACTGTGTATGCCGCAACCAGCCACTAAAATGTGTACCCTTATTTCAGCAGAGCGTGTATTAATACAACAGATATTTTGGCAACATCCTGAACCAGGATTTACTGGGAAGGTGAGTTTCCAGACTCTACCCTGATACCCTGACCACCTCTCAAAATGTGCACAGGTAGGACAGATGTGCACAAGGCCACGTGTGGCCACCTCCACACAAACCCAAGGGCCCGTGATCACTGGCCCAGATGGGAACCAGTGGTACTGTCTTCTCTGCAGTGTCTGGTCCCTATACAGGTGAGGACATGACTGCTAAAGGCAGCGACCCCCCAGGTGTACACATCACCATGCCTCCCATCTGAGCCACCCATCCAAACAGTCAGTCTCCCACCAGCAGACACCTCTGGACATTCCCACACAGGCTCAGCCCACTATTGCTGGGCTCGGCCCCCTCCTACAAGCACTCTGCAGGGCAGAGTGTGCAATGCTCCTGTCACCTGTGACTCTGGCTGGGGCCTCCTTGTCTCCTAAGTTCCCACAGTTTATCCAACCAAGAACTGCTTACCTGGAAGAGTATAAAGATGAGGAACAGTTCGTAGACCACACTAACGCACAGCCAAAACCTCCAGTAAGCTATGGAGACAAAGACAACACAGCATTAGTGTACCGCAGACCGCGGTCGCCCAAGGCCCCACCCCAGCCCCAAGTTGGCTCCTAGCAGAAGGGCTCACGGGCCTCCCACAGGGCTCTTGGACACAGTGCTGTCCTCGGCCTCCCACGTGTAAAGCAAGGTCGAACTCAGAATTAAGCAAAGTATCTCTCTGAAATATAAACTGGTTTTCTTTACTTCCTTCCCTTCTTGTCCTGCTGCAGGGGCACAGTAGGGCCACATGTGTTGGACAAAAACAGGGACGTAAACACCCTGCTCTCCAGCTCACCAGAAATGCTGCCGACCCTCAGTCACTGGTGAGTCTGCTGCAGGTTTCTGGCAGGTCCTTTTTATGTTCAGAAAATCTTTCAATTCTAGTATGCTAAGTTTTTCTAGTGGGTAACGACTATGAACTCTTATTTTTCTGCATTTAAGATTTTCCCTGTGATATCTTAACACGCATCCGGGGGCCCCCTGTTAAGCTCTGTACTCCTGACTGCCCATCTCAGCTTGGAGCAGCTCAGTGCAAAGCGTCCACACTAGAGGTTTTAGGCCCACGCCCAGCACCCACAGGAGGCCCTCCAGGCAGGTACCAGGGTTAGGCTTAGGGTTCTGGGAGCACCACTTCCCACAGGGAAACCACAGACACCTGTCTGACAGGGCCCCTCAGGCACCACATCTGAACCTGAACTTTTTTTTTTTAAAGGTTTGGCTTTATTAATTTATTATTATTATTATTATTTTGCAGCTTTTTTGGCCAGGGCTGGGTTTGAACCTGCCACCTCCAGCATATGCGGCCGGCGCCTTACTCCTCTGAGCCACAGGCGCCGCCCTGAACCTGAACTCTTCTCATCCCCTGCCAACGATCCCTGTCTTTCCTATTCCACACGCAGGCAGGTAGGTCAACCCAGACTCATCTCTCTCCCCTGAGCCCAGGCTTGCCCACCTCACACCCAGCAGGCCTTCTACCACATCCACCAACTCCAGCTGCTCCTGAAGCTGGTTCCCCTGATTCCAGAAGCCACACCCCAAACACAGTGCCCATGGGGGAGCAGGTGGGCAGTATCACTGTACCCAGCTCTTCTGATGCATACAGCTTCCGGAGGGAGCTACAGACGGAAACAAAGACTGCAGAGAGGGGCCTTCTCCCCAGATCACGACATGTTTTAAACATAGTCTCACTTGGAACTGTGGCACTTCATTTTTCCAAATCAAGCTGCTCCCCAGGAAAGCTCAGCTGGAGCCTCATTTTTGCCCCTCGTAAGGAGATTGCTACAGTGGGCCAGGTGCAGCAGGAGGCGGCCAGTAGGCAGAACCCACTGGGCCACCTTTCTGCAGCAGGATCCCCTTCAGGCCCAACACCCAGAGCATGGAGCTTCACAGCTGGCCTGGACCCACTTGCAGTGCATTCTGCTTGGATAGTCTGTGTTCCTGTAGAGCATGAAGCTAACACACAGAGGTAGCTCCAGGCTCTCTACTTAACAAACCAAAAACTGGCAAAGAAACGTGCATTTGTACAAAGCAACCTGAACTTGAAGGTGGAGCTGAGCTCTGAATAGAAGCTTAGACACAAGACCCCCACCCTATCCCAAGAGAGAGAAGGAAAGCCAACCTAGGCCCAGGTGGGATTGGTCTGACCTCACACAGCAACCTGAGCTGCAGAGGGAGCTTTCAGAAGCTTTGGAACCTTTCCGACCTTGGAGCTCCTAGATTGGCCTCTCCCAGGGACAGGCCCAGCACCAGGGCAAGCTGCTGCCCTCTGACCAGTCTGGCCCAAGGTGCGGCCCATCTGTGGCAGGAGGTTGACACTGGCTGAGCTTCACGCATTTCCTCCTCCTGCCCAATCAACCGGGTCCCTCACTGTGTGATCTACGGGTTGGATATGACCTTGCTCCTGCTCTGGTGAAGTCCAGCTGTGACCAGCCAGCTGTGTGAGTGGGCAAGACTCAACCCGTGGCCCACCAGACACCTTGAGGTATCTGGAGACCCTGCACAAACAAGGGGTCCACAAGGCCAGTGTGCTCAGAAGTCTCCTGCAGGCAGCCTCTTGGCCATACCACCAACCCTCCCTTCTAGAGGGCGATTTTGTGAACTGTGTCACAAGCCTAAAGTGTTTACTCCCTTTAACCCAATGCTTTCAGAGAGAGTGTGCAAAATTCACCACAGCCTAGTTTATTACAGCAGAGCTGGAATTCCCTGTGTGACATGACAGCTGAAACAAACTGATGTACCAATCCCAGCACATCCAAATGATGCTAAACACACTGCCACAGACAGTTCAGCTGTCAGTCAAAAACCAGTGAGAAGGAAATGATTATTAAATGCATGATATAAAACCACACACACTATTCATCTAATATTTTTAAGACCATGTTTATGTATACATACAAAACACATCAAAATTTTAGTGTTATTTTTGTGGATTTTTTTTATTTTAAAATATCTTTTGTATTTTCCAAATTTTCATCAGTACCTACCCTTATTGAAACAGAAAAGAAATGTTTCTAGTTACTACTTGAGACCCTTTGGAGAAACCAACCAACCTTACAAGAGGCCTCGTCCCCAGGCCCCTGGGTTTTTTGTTTGTTTGTTTAGAGACAGAGTCTCACTTTGTCACCCTCAGTAGAGTGCCATGGCATCACAGCTCATAGCAACCTCTAGGTCTTGGGCTAGAGCAATTCTCTTGCCTCAGCCTCCCGAGCAGCTGGAGTAGCTGGGTGCCTGCCACAACACCCAGCTATTTTTTTTGTTGCAGTTTGGCCGGAGCTGGGTTCAAACCTGCCACCCTCAGTATATGGGGCCAGCACCTTACTCACTGAGCCAGAGGCGCTGCCCAAGAACCCTCGGTTTGTAAGACCTCATCATGACTGGGGGCAACTGTGGCAAGACCGGGCCCCACAGGAGCCCACATGCCCTATCTGTAGGAATAGCCCAGAACAGGGACCCCAAAAAGGAAGTGCCCCACACCTTCTGTCCCTGCTATAGGACGTGGCTGTGGCGATCTGGGGCCAGGTGAGGGGAGGACACTCACACCCAGCACAGACACAGAGGGACTGCTCAGAACAGAAGTGCCACACACAGAGGGAGAAACGGCAAGTTACCTGGATGAGGTCTGGAAAATGGCCCGTCTTTAGCTTGTGTGACTCCAAAACATAAGAAAACCAAAATACTGGCCACAATACCTCTGCAAATAAAAAACAAACAGCCCCTCAGTGTGTGTAAGCTTCTCCCAAGAGGGAGGTGGGAGGCAGCAGGGACCCCAGGACACCCAGTGTGGGAAAGACCTGGCCTCAGGCCAGAGCTGAAGACTATGCAGCAGGGAAGGCAGGGCTGGCAGTTCCACCACCCCAGCCCCACAGCCTCATCTGGAGCCAGAGGCCTAGCAGCAGCAGTACACTGGTTATCTGCAGGGTCGTGTTGGACCACAGGGGTCCATGCTTCACATTGAGAAAAACCTCCTAACATTCCAGACACAGGCATCAGGGCTCCCTCACTTAGGATGCTAAGAGCTGGGGGCTTCTTGCTCCAGCACAGTGGGATCTCCGTGTTTTTTAGAGCTCCTTGTCCCTCTGGGGCCACCTCATCCAGTACTAATGGGACTTCTGCAGTCCACAGAAGAGAGAAGTGTAAGTGCTATAACTGCACCTAAACAGAATATGCAGATATATGGCTGCATAGGGGAAGGAGCCAGTCCCATGCTGGGTGGCATTGGCCAGACAAGTCTCAGGTGGAGCCCACTCTGTGTCCATACTAGCCCTGCTGGGCATACAGGCACCTGCTGCAGCCTGTGTTCCCCTCTCGCCAAGTGCACACAGCAGCCTATCTCACTCAGTGGAGGTCCCATGCACACTGGCCACTACAGGCAGCCCTTCTTGCCCTGACCGTCACACCCTACATATTCACACACCGTGCTACACTCCACACATATGCACATTCATCTCGTATCAAGAACAGACAGGGTCACAGAGCTGTCAACAGCACTCTTGAAAAATATCTAGCAACAACTTTGAGTAAGAAAAATTTTTCTCTCTGCCTGCCCAGAGCTCCTGGGTCCTGAAGCCCCAGCAGACACAGGTAAGGCACAGCCCCCGGGCCTGCAAGAGACTCCCAGGACCAGAGGGCCACACAAGGCTGCAGGACACCCTCATGCTGTGGGGCCAAGGCCAGCCACACAGAGTGGAGCTGCTCTCTGCCCAGAGTTCTGAGGGTCTCACTCTTGGGAGGACATTCATGGAGGCCCCCTTGGTACACATGATCAAGCCCCAGGGATGGGAGCAGAGATAGACAGTGGGGTGTCTTGGCTCAGTGGGGTGGGTCCTACGTCCCATCACAGGCATCCCTTCCCCAGGTCTCACATACTCAGGGTAGGACATGTCAAAATTGCCTTGGGGGCCGCTGAGAAAAAGACACAGGCCCCAGCACAGCTGTTCCTCCATGGTGTACAGAAGAAAGCTGTAACTCTACTTTAGGGGGACAGATAGCAAGTGCTCTCCTACCCCCCCCCCCAGGAAGGATAGATATGGGCACTGGCTAAGGAGGTCACTGCCAGCATCATCCAAGGGCTGTTGGTGTTCTCAGCTGTATGGTGCAGTACTGGGGCCCAGCTGCTGGGTCAGCCTCGTGGCTTCTGCACTTGACACGGGGCACAGGGGCCAGCTCAGACAGGCCCCACAGGATGCCACCCTGGCTGTGCATCATGTGTGTTTGTGGTAGCTTCGTGTGGCCCCCTGAATTTGTTTCTAAGAACTGCTTCAGTACTTGGAAAGGTATGTCATTTGAGTAAAGGAATTACTTTGAAAGGAAAATATATTACATTTCTAAAATAAGCTTTTGATCTTGGATTTGCAGAATCACTATGGAAATAGTGATGCCCAGGTGCCACATACCTGTTTCCCAGTATACACTCTGCCAGCAGTACAGGGCAGAGCATCTGTCCACACTTGGCTCTGGTCTCCTCAGCTTTTCTCTAATGTCCCTTCCTGTCCCATGATCCCATCTGAGACTCCATGCAACATCCAGTCCTCCCATCTCCCCAGGATCCTCTCAGCTGTGACAGCGGCCCAGACCCCCTTGTTGCTGAGGACCTGAGCAGTGCTGAGGACTGGTTAGGAACTTTACAGAAGGTCCCTCACTAAGGCTGTCTGCTGTGTTTCGTGACTGGAACAGGGCTGCAGGTTTGGGGGAAGACCATAGAAGCACACCACCCCTTCTGTCAATGCCACCGGGGTACCCCATCACCCTGTCCCTGGCTGAGGGCATCTGTCAAGCACCTCCATTGCACTCTGACCCTACTGCTGTCCCTTCCTAGGCATGTCCTCTAGATGGAAGTCCCTGTGAGCAGCCACAGGGTAGGCCCGGCCCAGCCCACCTCTTGGAGGGCAGATCAGCTACACAATCACTTGGGACTGCAGGGAGATTAGTTTTCCTTCCTTCACTAGTTCATTCAATTGCTTACATCACAGTTTTATACTTTAGTTTTATTCTAATAACTGTACTGACTCTGTGGCTAACACTGACCCAGCTATGGCCACTGAGAGCCACTTGCTCCAGCATTGCTGAGGTAATCCCATCCCTGTGGGGTTTTATTCTGACTTTCGGGTGCTCCAGGCTCATCTGGGCACTCCGCCCCACCCTGGGAGCCCTGGGTCCTCACAGCAGAGAACACAAGACCCCAAGACGGGCCTGGTGTGCAGGCCCCACATTCTCTCAGCTCACAAGCAGTGAATTGCATGTGTATGCACTGACCAGCACATATACATATCTACTCTAAATATCTGTTTTAAACATGTGTCTCTTTACTGAGCTGAGTCCTTACTAATCTCACCAAGTATGACCTACTACCATGTGAATTGCACCAGTATCCTCCCCTGATTACCTGTAAATTCCCACTCCAACAGTGAAAGCCTGCCCCGACCATCTGCCACGTGATTACGTGTGCAGTAGCAACAGAGCTGTCAGCCTGAACCTTCTGGGACATGACATCATCAGCAGACCATGGCGCCCTGTGCAGCTGGGACACAGCTTCATCAGCAGACCACGGTGCCCTGTGCATCTGGGACACAGCTTCATCAGCAGACCACGACGCCCTGTACAGCTGGGACACAGCTTCATCAGCAGACCACGGTACCCTATGCAGCCGGGACATAGCTTCATCAGCAGACCACGGCACCCTGTACGGCCAGGACATACCTTCATCAGCAGACCATGGCACCCTGTGCAGCCGGGACACAGCTTCATCAGCAGATCATGGCGTCCTCTGCATCTGGGACATGACGTCATAAGCAGACCATGGCGCCCTGTGCAGCTGGGACACGACTTCGTCTGTAGACCACAGTGCCCTGTGCACCCGGGACATGACTTCATCCGACCGCGGTGCCCTGTGCAGCTGGGACACGACCTCATCAGCAGACCACGGCGCTCTGTGCAGCTGGGACACAGCTTCATCAGCAGACCACGGTGCCCTATACAGCTGGGACACGACCTCATCAGCAGACCACGGCGCCCTAGACAGCTGGGACATGACTTCATCAGCAGACCATGGCACCCTGTGCAGCTGGGACACGACTTCATCAGCAGACCATGGCACCCTGTGCAGCCAGGACACGACTTTATCAGTAGACCATGGTACCCTGTACAACTGGGACATAGCTTCATAAGCAGATCATGGTGCCCTGTGCAGCTGGGATATGACTTCATCAGCAGACCATGGCACCCTGTGCAGCTGGGATATGACATCATCAGCAGACCATGGCACCCTGTGCAGCTGGGATATGACATCATCAGCAGA